GGATGGATGGATGGATGGATGGATGGATGGATGGATGGATGGATGGAGAATAAGTTTCTGTTGTACATTAAGTCACATGACCAAGTGACCCAGAAGCAGAAGAAAGCACTGTGAGACAGAACAGAATATGTATGGTGATCCTTTTTGTTTCTATTTCTGGTCTGCCATGTTAATGGATGTTTAAGTTTAATTTCAGATTATTTATTTATTTTATTTTAACTAACTTTGTGGATCACCCTTGAGTAGGCAGTGTAAAACTTTGACTTTAAAGTCTCAGTCAAACTGATTTTTCACCACTTCAGAGAAATAAATATATTAAATATACATTAATACACATCATTTGTCCAAAGTGATTGGAGCTAATGACTGAAGTACAAGTGCACACATTCAGACTTGCCTGAACGTGCTGCGGTTCATTTGTGTGTTTCTCCTTTAATCAATAATGCAGACAGGGAATGGCTGCTCAAACACACATGTCTGACACGCAGTCAGTGAGCTCACCATAAACACATCTGACTGCATTAAACGTCTGCTCAGTGCAGGAAGAGTCAGACACTCCAGAGCACACCCAGAAACCTTTCAACTTTGCACTAGCAGTCAACACGCCTCTGTGACTAATTTGCAAAGCAAACATGAAACACTACTGGGAACTTTAAAAGTAGTTTCTTTTTCATTCAGAGGAATGTTTTACACTATAGTGACCTTTGTGTTGCAGATCTTATACTGTCGAGGATCTCCTACACATGGTACACCAACCGGGTTCCTGAAACACAGAAAACACAGGTTTGTATCATTAAGTGAGCTAAATACTACATGAAAGGTAAACATACAGTATCAAACAATTCAGCAATATCCATGATTATAAATAGTCTAAGTTGACCATTTTACCACAAAGTGTACTGTCAAGTAGCAAAAATTGACACAAATGGACCACAGATGGATTTGAACAAACTCCAGAAAGTTGTTTAATTAAATTTAAAACTTGTTAACATTTGAAGTCAATTCCGTTAAAGATGGCTGCCACAGCAAATCAATATAAGCTAGGCTAACACAAAAGTGTCAATAGTTCAGTGAGTTTTATAAAAATTTAGCTGCATTTTGATGTGGTAGTACCAGAGAGTCATTCACAAAACATATTCTAAAGAGATTTTAAAAATTCTTATTATTTAATAAAAAACAAAGCAACACTAAGACTTAAAATTAATACATGATTTAACATTTTTGGGGATTTCTCTACTTGGATGATTGAGATTACAAAACCTTTTTAATACATCTTTTTTTTATATTTACAATCCTGTAGTTATTTATTTTTAATTTTTTGTGGTAAATTTAAATGGATCACATAAAAAAATTGGCAAAACACTTTATTTTGGCGTATTAATTTATTTTTTAAATAAATCCAGAGATATAATATATTTTACTCAAAATGGGTAGAACAATCAATAAAAGTATAATTTTACATTTCCTAATAAACTCAGACAAAATGCATGTGGGTTCAGTTAAATGATGGAACATAAGTAATTTTTAATTTCATGAGAAATGTATCATTTTCATTACTTTCTACGTGTTGTCTTGTTACCTGGTGATACAGGTGCGTGTTCGCACAGAGGCTCCGCCCCCACAGCTGCGTGAGCACACAGACCAGCCGCTCCATATTGCCCACTCGTTTTTTAGGTGCAGCTGCCGTCGAGCACGAACCAGATGCCCTAATGAGATGTTGTTGGAAGGAGCCCACGTAGTAATCCATGGGGCCTAAAACAGTCAGAGCATTTTCATTTTTAGCTTTTCCCCAGACTTCCTGAAGGTTTGCATGATATTTTGCCATTTTGATTTTGAAAATGTGTTTTTCAATCACTTGTATCAACCATTTGATGTAATTTACAATTACATTACACATAGAAGGAACCCATGACAATTGATATCTTAAAAAAATGCATCAAATTAAAAAAAAATTGAACCACAACTCCTCATGATTTTAAATAAGGGTGGAAGGGACACTACCATTCTGTAATGATCCATGTGTTTCAGTATTTGGTTTTCTGATTCTCTTTGATGCCTGTTTTGACTGAAACACCAAGAACTCTGCATCATACTGACGCCCGCCAATGACACTGCCCCTGTCCTGAGTTCACATGAGGTGAGACTCTGCCTTCAAAGCATTGACCTCAGGAAAGCTGCTGGACCAGAAGGCATGCTGGGATGGGTGCTAAGGGACTGTGCAGCTGAGATGGCAGAGATCTTCACTTACATGAACATATATCACTGTCAACAGCATGGGTTCCAGTTTGCTTTAAAAGAGCCACAGTAATTCCTGTTCCCAGACTCATGTAACTTGTCTGAATGATTACAGGGCAGTGGCTCTTCACTTCCACCAAATGTTTGGAGACAATGGTTATCAAACCCATTTAAAAGGCCTTCCCACCTACTCTTGAGCAGTACCAGTTTGCATACAGGAAGAACATTTCCATAGAAGACACCACATCATTTATGCTGCATACAGTACTTTGACACTTGGAGCAAAAAGATGCGCTTGTAAGGCTTCTTTCTGTTGACTTTAGTTCGGCTATACTGAAAAAAAAAAACCCAACTGGTCTCTCTAGGACTAAACACCACTTTAGAAAACTGGTTATTGGACTTTCTGTCAGATCACAGTATGTCAAAGTTGGTCAGCACGTATCATCCACTGTGACCATTAACACTGAGGTTCCCCAGGGATGTGTGTTCAGCCCATTAATGAGCACATATACACCCATGACTACTGTTGAGGTCCTAAATTTGCTCCGATGACCTCTCAAGGTTGGTTTGCTCGGAAAGGATCACAAGTTTTCTCTAGAATTAACGATAACTTTATTTTCACACACACAAATGTATGAACAGGAGAGAATTGTGTAAATTCCCTTCTATCCCTGGGCCCCTGTACAATTCTGATGTTTGTGCGGTTTGGTTTCACCCTTATAAACTATGGTTCTCCTCCCCATTTTTCCTCCAATGAATCATCCCCACACATCCTGGTGACATTTCCTGCTATTTATTTCTATCAAATCAGACACCTCCACAAATTTTCGTGAGTCCCTCCCATTTCTCATTCTGCCCAATCAATCAGACACACTTCATTAGCTGTAATCTCTTTAAACTGAGTATGTGACACATTCCTATCTTTCCATTAGACAGATTAGGCACACACACAATCTTACCATGACTGTGAAACTCTGATTATTATCTGATTATCCTGGTAATTACCATACCATACCATACCATACCATACCACTTTATTTATAAAGCACTTAAACAGCGACAAGGCCAACCAAAGTGCTGTACAGACAAAACAACAGACAACACAAAAAGCAATATACAAAATTAGGTCAATCAGAATATAGACATAAAAACGATGCAGATAATGACGACAAACCAGTGTGGAGCATACAGGATCAAAACACAGATCATCTGGTGTTGAAAGCCATCGAATAGTAGTGGGTTTTTAAACGGGACTTGAAAACCGAGAGGGAGGGGGCCTGTCTGACAAGCAGAGGTAACTCGTTCCAAAGTCTTGGTCCTGCTACAGAGAAGGCCCTGTCACCTCTGCGCTTAAGACGAGTTCTTGGAACTGTGAGGAACAACTGGTCCGCTGACCTCAGGGAACGTGGTGGGACATACTGTTGTAGCAGATCAGAGAGATGGGGGGGTGGGGGGCAAAGCTGGTAATTCAGCACATTATCAAGTTTTAGATTGTTCCACAAGACCCAGGATCGTTCTGACCTAGTTAACCTAGTCTTTGAATCATTAAAAAATATTTTATAATCCCCAACAAACACTAAAATGATGTGAACTATAATTTAGATTTATATTTGATCTTAGTTAACTGAACAAGAACTTTTAGGATGATATTGTGTTTCTCATTAAATGACTTATTAGACATAAGGTACTATTTTCCTACTGACAGCAGAAAATGTCAGGGTTGATTTTAAAGCCAGCAGTCACTGCAAACATATATAGCAAACTTTATCAACTTATGACTTAGTTCACACATCAAATAGATATTATAGCAATATTTATATGTTCTATTTCCATAATTCATAATTAAACATTTTTATGAACCAACCCACATTGTTATTTTCACAATTTATAATCAAAGATTGTTTTCTTCCTGACACTACTCATTCTCCTCTATGTCAAATCTCATCATTAAGTTTTCAGATGGTGCCACATTACAGGGGTTTGAGAGACTCTGTAAATCAGGGAAAATCTAGAAAACGAGTTTCACATTTGGCAGATTGGGAAAACTCTGGGAATTTAAACACTGATATGCTAATTAACACATGATATTTCTGGAATTTTAGCATGTTCATGAAATAATGCTAGTATTCTAGTATCACTGAGTCCATATTCTGCTTCTGCAATGTGCATAATACATGTATCCTTACTGATTAACTGTGGTTTCTTTTTAGTGTCTAACGTTACAATATAAAATTAATTACCAGTATTAGGAATGATTACTATAAGCTAGGGGTGTAACGGTACATGTGGGTGTATTGAACCGTTTCGGTACGGCATGTTCGGTTCGGTCCACGTGTGTACCATCTCAGTTATTTTTTACACTCATTAAATTTTATTAACGAGAGATTATGTGCCGTGGAACTAAAGTTCCTAAGCATATTTCAGGATGGCGCTATAGCCTTGTAGCACGCGTAGCATTAGCATTCTAGCATCTCGTTGCGGTCTCCTGTTTGGGAACATTATGGCTTTCTTGTTAAAAGACAGGTGCAAATTCAAAGCTGTGTGTTGGCGTTGTTTCACGAAGATTGGATCTGCCGCAGGCAACACGTCTAACTTGTTAACGCACTTAGAACGACATCATCCGAATGTGAACGTCTCTTCTACAGAATAGCAGCTTGGTTGGTGCAAAGACTGATAGCAGCATGTAAACAACCTTCATCAGGTAATTCAGAGCAGTCCAAAGCAATAACACAAGCTGTAGGAGTTTTTAAAACTATGGATCTACGTGTCCGTGTTCTGTTGTTGATGCGCCGACTTTAAAGTTATTGAGCCCCTCTATGACATCCTATCACGTCAACACATCAGCCAAAAAGTTATAGCAGCACGTTATGAAAAAGCTAAAACTGATCATCAACAAGCCCTGGAGCACAGATTTAAAGCCCTGCCCTGACGATGATAAACGAGAGAATATTCACCACCTCATAACAAATGATGCCCATTCAAGAAGAGGTATTGCTTATTGTGTTATTATGATCTGATTAACTTTTTTAAATTAAAAATTATAATCGTATTAACTCTTTTTTTTTTTACCTCTTTGTGTTTTAATTCCAGTCTGGGACAGAGATAGCAGCTGAGTCTTCTTCCTCTTCAGGGACGTCCACCAGAGATCATCTCCAGCTAAGAAGACTGTGATGAGTGAACTCTGAACTTTTCCATGGACAGCTGGGAGCAGGTCCAAGAGGTTGTGAGTAATGATGAGGTCAAATACAGCCCCACTGCAAAATTAACAAAGCTCTACCTCTTTATTCCTGCTACTGTTGTTAATGAGCGGTTTTCTCCACCGCTGGAGATATTCACTGCAACTAGATCTGTGATTTTGGCAGAAAATGTGGACAAGTTGTTTTTTTTGGCCAAAAACTTAAAACTTGATTAGTTAGATTGTAAACGATCTGTTGCTGCTTATTGTTCTGGTTCTGACTGTTATTGTATTTATTAAGATTTTTATTATTGTTAGTATAGTTTATTTATTGTAAACAGTGCCATTTATTTAAAATATCATCCAAATGGGTTGCTTTTATTTATTTTTATACAAACGTATTGTTTACTTGGCATATTTAAAAAAAAAAAAGTTTTGGAATTCTTCATTTTGGTCTTTTTTGTACCGAAAATTAACTGAACTGAGCCCTCCCTGAAACTGAACAGAACCAAAATGTGATTTTAGAGTACCGTTACACCCCTACTATACACGTATTGTATGCTAAAGTATACTTAAGGCTTGCACAGACTCGGGCAGTCCTCAGTCCACGCGGAAACTGTGCACACTGTCCGCAAAGGGTTGAGACTTCATACTCGAGCATCCACCCTAAGCAGCTGCGGCCCAACTCCACAGGCAGGGGGTGTTTGCCTTAGGGAGAAATTGATTTTGCCCATTGGTCATTTGCTGACACGCCTACTGGATTGATTGATTGACAGGTTGCAAAAAAATAAATAAACGAGAGCTGGCAGCCCCAGTCTCAGCAAGTTTCTGTGTTTATATGTTGTTAATAAAAAGTTCTAAAAAAAAAAACAGGGAGCGCTGGTCCTGCAGCCCACACATCAGACCAGCCCACCAGGAAATCTCGAGACCCTTCCGCAGCCACGCTGGACCTGATTTTAATTCGCTCTTGACAAATTCCTTCATTTCTCACAATTTCAATCATGGCATCAGTGGAGGAGGGGGAAGAGATCGCTTGCCTCTTGGACAAAACAAAACAAAAGAAAAGGCCATTAAACCAGACCACAGATGAAAAAGGGGAATTTAATACATTGGTGTCGCATGTAAAACAGTCCGTCGCCGGGCAGTTTATTGTGCGACACTGAGTACGTGTACGTGGTCGCAAAAATTTATCTTTGGTATGTATCCTGATGCATGCTCAATAATCCAGGTAGAAAAATCCAAGAAAGTTCAATCTGGTCCTCTGGACATTCAAAAAAACAAAACAAAGCAAAAAAAAAAAAAAAAATGTAGAAACGT